AGAGGGCGCTGACGGCGGACGAGCGGCGGCGCGTCGGGCCACGGCGAGATCGAAGGTCCCTCGCCGCAGTCGTTGGAGTTGAGGGCTGCTTTGGATGGTGAGATCAGTGGCAAGTGGGCCGATTAGGTGGGCCTCCTCAGTCCTCACCTCCAACTGTGCTGTTTTTACCCAAGGTCACGCAGGATGACTACTGCGGTGATTTTTTTTTTCTGACACGGCCGCGATCAGCCCTATAATTGGATTTCTGGCGACTATTATTTTTTAATCTGCCATGATTTTCAAATTTGATAGTATACTGGGAAATAAAGTAAGCAAAAGAGATTTTATTTTATAGGTTTTGAGAAAGGTTAAAAAAACTAATTGTTTGGCATTAGCTTTTTAAGTACTATTGGAGATGCTCTTAGGTTGTGCCTGTTGGGTAAAACTTGTTCACACAAATGTAATATTGTATTTATTTCATGATCGTACGGTACATGTCAGAGAGGGTATTTATAGAGGTCCTAGTCTTCGTAATTTAAATACAAATACCACTCTCTGTGAGCAATACAACCCCTTTAAATTACAAGGGCAAAGTTGTCTTTTTACTCTTCGAAACTTCATTCTTCATGTCATCTTGTTAATCTTCAAAGTTACTTTCATCAAGGATGTCTTCACATCCTCCAACTTAAGAGTTCTTGTATTGAATCTTGTTGACTTCGCGCGTTGAGCGAAGTCCAAAATCTGTCTTCACTCTTGTATCTATTCGCCTCTTTTGCTTGTTTCGAGCGAAGTCAAAATTTATCCTTCGCTCTTGAATCTTGCAGGCAAACTTTGACATAAAATTTTGGTGACCAACTCCGAAATTTCGGGGCTGTGTTTTTCGGCGAAGTCAAATCCCCAACAGTGCCCATGCTTGGTGCTGCTTCAGGCTGACTCCTATGCACACAGGCAAGCCTTTTTCTTGGCACACGCACGGTCCATGGCCCATCACCCCATTTTTGTGTCACGCCAGCCAAATTCTTGGTGATACTCTATTAATCTTCTTGGGCCGCTTATCAGCTTGCATAGTTTAATTTTATCGAGATCTGGTCGTGTGCTTCATGGCTATTCTATAGGATGTTGTGGACGAAAGTGTCTAGTTTACTATTACTAGTGATCATGCACGTGCAGCACGCACGTGTCCATAAAATTCATACACAAGAGAATAAGTACATATTTTATTAAATCATTTTTAAAATTAAAAAAATAACTACACAGCTAATAAACAGTGTTGAGGGTAACTTTAGCGAGGGGATTTCAAGAGGTCACAAAAACTTATTTGATTTTTATTTTCATATATAGTACAATAAGATACACCACCTACCTTGACAGAAATTGGACATCCTATATCAATATTAGCTGTGGTGATCAGCAGAAAACACCACCTCCCCCACCGTTTTTATAAAATCATTAATATTTAAAATTTAATTTATATAGCTAAATCTTGTGCTCAATGAAAGCAATGTTGCTACTTAGCTTATTGGGTAGCAACCATAATTAATAAGTAACAATGAAAAGGAACATACATATATCTCATTTCAGTCACATCTTTTGAGCATGCTTTTCTAACATCTGTCTTTCCAAAAACTAACAAATGGCTAGACATTCCGTGCGCAAAAACACATTCCATGTTTATTTACTTAAATAGTTGTTGTTACACTAGGCCTTATAGAAAGGCAAAAGTGCAATAAATGGTATAATTTCATGTCATCTTGGACAAAGTACAATTTAAGATGTAGGTCGTGCCATGTAGCCAAGATTCTAGGCACGGTGCAATCTACTACTCGTGTTAATGTGTTGGAACAATCCAAAATTTATCGTGTACATGTACTACTTTGCTTGGACGTACCAAAAGATCGTGCCGTAAGTGGCCCTAAAATAGTACAATTCATGATAACTGCAAGAGAAACAACATTTTTCTCACTCTACCTTTGTCAAGATATAGGGAGTATTCTGACCTATTTTCGTCGAGATTATCTTCTTTTTTGTTTCCAAACCTTTGCCCTATGCTTCCTAATTGTCCTTGCCCCACCACCATCCCAAGTTATGGCAGTTTTAACTATTCTTATCCCTTCTTATTCCTCTTTCTATACCTTATGCCCTGTTTGATTCCATGGTCTAAAAGTTCATCTAGATTCGGCCCTGTTCGTTTCGCTGAAAAGTCAGGCTGAAAAGTATTGTTCGTTGATTTGTTGTGAGAGAAAAACACTATAGACTTATGTTGGTTGGGTGCCCAACCCTTGGCTTGGCCTGCTGGAGCCAACTTAGGCTTGTTTGGTTGCCTGTAGTTGGGCTTTAGCCTGGCTAAACCTAGCCGCCATACGCCACTTGGCCTGGTTCCCAAAGAACGACATCCCGATCCGTTTTCCTGGAGCCAGGCGCAGGTTCCGCTCCCATCACCTCCCTGTGCGTCCTCTTCGCTTCCTCCGGTGTCGTGCCTTCTCCACGTCGGCAACGAGCGCCGCCCTACCCCGCCGTCGCGAGCGCCTTGCTCCACCTATGGCCCTCGTGCCCGTGTTGCCGCCGTTAGCACCCACCGTCGGCCCTCGCGAGTCACGCCCCCAAGTGCCCTGCCCCGCTGCCGCGAACACGACCCTCCCCAACGGTGGCCGCGAGCGCAAGCCATCCCCGACGCTACACCCATGCACGTCCGCACCGCCCCCGGTGGTCCCGCGCATGGTCGCGCCGCCCTCGGCAACCTCACCCATGGATCTCGCGGATCCTGGAGGCCGGGGTCAGCGACCGGTGCCGGTGTCAGGAGCGACATCGCCGGGGGAGGGGTCGCGGGGGCCTTGGGCGCCTGTGCGTGGCGGCCACAGCAAGGAGGGCATCCATTGCTGTGCTGCTGCCGACGGCGGCCATGGCGACAACCAGCACCAGGGGCGATTCCGACAACTATAGGCGACGCAAGTAGGCCAGGGAGGTGTGCAAGGGCGAGGCGAAGTTGTGCGCAAGAGGAATAGGGAAGAGGTGGCGTTGCGACGACGAATTTCTCCGGCACGTGGAGATTGCCGGCGGTGAAGCAAAAGGTGCTACTATAGCGACTGACAGCACATCTTCCTCTCTCCCGTTCCCCCGTTCTCTCAATTTTGCAAAACAACTTGATGATCGTCTTAAAAGCAAAGTTGTTCATCGACCTGAGATCTCTAACATTGATTAAAGGACCAACATCAAAAACTTGTTGGTTTCAAAGATTCTAAGTTTTGAAAATAGAAAAAACAAACTAAAAACTAAATTCATACTTGATAGAATGTGCTATAGGGGGTGAAGTTACCAGGAAGTAGATAAGGTGATTCTATGCAAAGTCAGGAAACCAAACACACCAATTCTAAAGCCAGGCTTAGATAGTTCATGCAACCAAACAAGTGCATGGTGGCTTGCTAGGACCCGGCCAAGCCTACCCAGACTTCAATGGAGACAGAAACCAAACAGACCCTATACCATGGCTAATAAAGCTATGCTGATAAGTTCAAGCGAACATGGCCTTATCTTTCTTATAACAGCTTGAGTCTTGTTTGTCTTCTCTTCCTACTATCATCTTCGATCTTATCATCATCATCAGATTTAACCAAATCCTATTAGGCCCTGTTGCTTCTCTTATTAGTTCCTGCTATGGTACATTTAATCAAATCCTCAAAATTAATTCGGAAGGCTTGATGTAGGGCCTGTTGCTTCTCTCTCTTCCACAGTTCCACTCTTCCTTAAATAAAGAAATTACTGTGGTTTCTTGCATATTTCCAAATGGAAGAACAGGAACTTAAATGCAGCGACAGAATTTAAGAAATAAGAACACCCAACCATGGCACGGTGTCCACATAATGTCAATCTAATCAGCACCCAGTGAGTTAGGGGGATCTGATAAACGTGGCAGATTGGGCTAGTTCTCGGTCGATATAGATATGCAGAGTGCACACGATTGAACAGTGAGCCGAGACAACGACTGAACAACAACCAACAGAACATACAGATTGGGTTTCTGGCCTCTTCAGACGCGGTTACAGTCTTTGATGCCATCCCTGAATGTTCAAGAAAATATGTCCACTGGACTTACGAAACAAGAACGTGCAGGTTAAGTGTGAGGAATCAAAAATAGAGGCAGAGGAAACCCGGGTAATTAATAATGAAACTACGAAACTCAACCAACCATGAACATGCCGAACAGCTCATCACATGGGAACATTAAAGCCTTGGTTGGGGGACGATGTAGGCAGAAGTGCAGAACTACAATACAGTAGTAAACATTCTTATATGGTGACCACGTGAAGATCACAGAAATCAATGAAGAAACAAATCGATCAAGATTTACTTTACCTAACAAACTGAACAAGCTTCCTGCTGACTTCCTCCCTAAAAACAAATTTAACAACCTCATTCAATCTGCAGTGCAGTGTTAGATATGTCACATTTCCCAGTAAACATTTCCTCTTCTTGAAGAACGGCACGTCCCGTGACTCGTGATGATGGTGATACCTCTGTGGACCAGAGAGGAAAGCAACCCATGCACATACCATTAGGAGGAATATTCCTTTCCTTGTTAAATAAAAAGTAAAAGTGAATTCTGAGGGATTTTCTACAGAAAAAAAAATCTCATTCACTTAGTAGTAGTGAGCAACTTTACTGGTCCCTTAATAACTGGCTTACAGCAGTGCGGGTCATGACCCCAACAATTAAATAGTCAATATCACGAGCGACATCTTTATAGTGTAGATGCTCAATAAGTGCTCACAGCAATGAGGGCCAGACAAACTCACCTTCGGTGCCGTCCTTCCGATCATAACCAATGTGTAGCTCAGCACACACAAGTGGCAAAGCAGAGAGGAAATTAAAGGAGCCCCACGGCCTACACAGCCAAAGCCAGATCTATTTCTTCCCCACCCCCAAGGCCCCAATCACCAGAAAAATATGGCAGCCGATAATCACCGGCTCCTCTATCCAATCTTCCTTTCACTCCTCTCCATTCCTTTGTGCTCCCGTGCATCCCCATGGCAGGTCATAGGCACAGGCTCATCCCTGCAAGTAGATCACGGGGAGATCTTCCTTGTCTCTCCGGACACAACCTTCTCCTGCGGCTTCTACTCATCTGGAGAAGGCACCAACGCCCACTGGCGGATCCAGGGCCCGGGCTGCCCGGGCTGCAGCCCGGGGTGAGTCCATGTAGCCCCTGTAACATATGTGGTGTTTAGCCTAAAAAACTATGATCTTAATTAGACAAAAGGAGGCCTAAAAAGCACGATCAGACTGTTTTGAACGTGGATCAGCAGCTCAGCCCAGGGCGCAGCCCCGTTCTGGATCCGCCCCTGCCAACGCCTACTACTTCTCCATCTGGTTCACCCACTCCACCGACAGGACTGTTGCTTGGACAGCGAACCGTGGCTCTCCAGTAAATGGCCATGGCTCAAAGATCTACTTCAACCGTGAAGGAAACCTGCTCCTTACGGATGTCAATGGCTCCACAGTGTGGCAGAGCAAGACAAAATGGGGAAAGCACGCCTCAGTAGCTCTCCTCAACAGTGGTAACCTTGTGGTCAGGGCCTCCACTGATCAGGTAGTGTGGCAGAGCTTCGATTCACCCATTGACACATTGCTTCCTTCACAGCGCCTGACAAGGGAGATGAGGTTGATCTCTCAATCTGGCTATCATCGCCTCTATTTTGACAATGACAACGTCCTGCGGCTCCTGTACAATGGGCCAGACATCACAAGCATATACTGGCCAAGCCCGGATTACAATGCCCTGCAAAATGGCCGGACTAGATTCAACAGCAGTAAGATAGCAGTTCTGGACAATGATGGTATTTTCTGGTCAAGCGATGGGTTCAGAATGATAGCCTCAGATTCAGGATTTGGAATCAAGAGAAGGATCACCATCGATTATGATGGCAACCTTAGAATGTACAGCTTGAATGCAGCAGGCAACTGGATTATCACAGGCGAGGCTTTACTCCAGATGTGCTATGTGCATGGTTTATGTGGAAAAGGTGGAATTTGTGAGTATTCACAGTCTCTCAAATGCACTTGTCCTCCAGGATATAACATGATTGATCCAAAGAACTGGAACAAAGGATGCAGTCCAACATTCAACACCACCTGTGGACAACCAAGAGAGGATTTTACATTCGTGAAGATTCCCCATGGTGACTTTTATGGCTTTGATCTGACTTCAAACCAGTCAATCTCATTTGAAGAATGCATGCGGATATGCTTGGACAGCTGCTTGTGCTTATCTTTCACATACAAAGCTGGACAGGGCCTATGTTACACCAAAAATCAACTCTACAATGGCCAGGTTTATCCATATTTTCCCGGAGACAGCTACATCAAACTTCCTAAGAAAATCACTCCAACATATTCAGCCTCCAATCATTCCAGTCTTACTTGCAGCCCAAAGAATACCAAGGTTATGTTAGTATCCGAAGATGAATAAATGAAAAATTCTGACAACATAAACTGGGCATACTTCTATGCATTTGCTACTATATTAGGGGCAGTTGAGCTGCTTTTCATCATGACAGGGTGGTATTTTCTTTTCAAAATGCACAACATACCGAAGTCAATGGAGGAAGGTTACAAAATGATAACAAGCCAATTCAGGAGATTTACATACCGTGAGTTGGTGGAAGCAACGGGTAAATTTAAAGAAGAGCTAGGAAAAGGTGGCAGTGGTACGGTTTATAGAGGAATACTTGCAGACAAGAAAATAGTGGCAATAAAGAAGCTTACAGATGTTAGACAAGGCGAAGAGGAATTCTGGGCAGAAGTAACTTTGATTGGGAGGATCAATCATATAAATTTAGTCAGGATGTGGGGATTTTGCTCAGAAGGCAAACACAGGCTATTAGTGTACGAGTATGTGGAGAATGAGTCATTGGACAAGTACCTTTTTGGTGACAGGCGCACTGAAACATTGCTATCATGGAGCCAAAGATTCAAGATTGCCCTGGGAACCGCAAGAGGCCTTGCTTACCTCCATCATGAATGTCTGGAATGGGTTGTCCATTGTGATGTAAAACCAGAAAACATACTGCTGACCCGAGATTTTGAAGCAAAGATAGCAGACTTTGGACTGTCCAAGCTTTCAAAAAGAGACAGTCCTAGCTTCAATTTCACTCATATGAGAGGCACAATGGGCTACATGGCACCAGAATGGGCATTGAATTTGCCAATCAATGCAAAGGTTGATGTTTACAGCTATGGAGTTGTGCTTCTGGAGATTGTTACTGGGAGTAGGGTTTCAAGTGGATAACAATAGACGAAGAAGAGATGGACTTCATGCAGTTTGTTCAGAAAGTCAAACAGATGTTCGCTAGGGGGGATAACCTGGATATAGTGGATGCTAGAATCAAAGGGCATTTGAATCACGAGCAAGCAACAGTGATGGTGAAAATAGCTGTTTCCTGTCTTGAAGAAAGAAGCAAGAGGCCAACAATGGATCAAATTGTAAAAGACCTTATGGTGTACAATGATGAAGATGATCACCCTGCATATTTTTTGTGACCTGTAGTCAAAAGGAAATATAAGCAAGAATACAAACTGAAAAGTCTTAGTCAAATATGCACACCATCCTTAGAAGAGAAAACAATGGGTTTTTGTACATTATGTATGAATGGAAAAAAGTTAGAAGCATTTTTCAGATTTTATGCTTGCTCTTTTTAAAACTGTGTTTGGTGTCCTGAGGGGCTTGCATAGTTGGCGGAGGTGAAGGATGCTAAATATTTCTTATACTTTTCATTTGATAAGGCCCTTTGTGCGAATGTTACATGTTACTGTTCTTCTGTTACAAGAATGGAAGCCTAAAGTGCCTCCATTTATTTAAGGATAAAAATAGAATACCTTTTGAATGGTAATTCCTTCTATAAAAAATACTTTGAAACTTGTGTAACAAAATCCCTAAACGAACTCAACTGTAAAACATTTCTTTATATTAAAAAGACACTGAAATGGTGAAACGAAAACATACTTGCACTTGGAGCACTCTCTCATGAAAACACTTGACACCAAATACAATACCATTGCTCCAACCTTCTGTGGCTTGAACAATCTGCATAGATCTCCCAAAACCTAGAAAATGGTATACATCACCTTAGATGCCTTCCTAATACTGTTCAATGTGAACTAATCACTGTTCACATGAGACCTATAATGGAAAAAAATATAGAAAAAAAGATGTCAAATAAGTAAATAACTTGAAACTACTATGCTGCAGTATGAGTATCTTTACTAAGCAATCCACACTTGCTGGCTGGTGACTTGATGTTGTACCAATCCCATATGAGCAGTACAAGGCATCCTGCTGTTGAAAAGATAGAAGACTCAAGATTTGGAAAGGCTGTAAGAGGCAAATATAACCTTGAGATTTATTTATTTTTTAAAAAAATGAGAGTGGAGTTAACAGACAACACATTACACATTTGCTATGTATCTAGAAATGTCAAAATATCTTCTAATTTGGAATGGAGGGAGTACTTTCTTGACAATGCGCTTTAAAAATTTACAAGATATTGGTTCACCTATTGAATGATGAAGGCGATGCAAACAGCATGTGGGAGAAGATGGCAACATGCGTTCGGAAGGTTGCTTCAGAGGTGCTTGGACTCGAAAAACACTTGGTGGTGGAATGAAGATGTGCAAAAGGCTATTAAGGAAAAGGAGTGCTATAAGCGCTTGTATCATGACAGGTGTGCAAACAACATAGAGAAGTACAAGGTGGCAAAGAAGACTGCAAAACGAGCGGTGAGTGGGGCAAAGGGGCGGGCCTATGAGGACCTTTACCGACGTTTGAGTACGAAGGAAGGAAAGAAGGACATTTATAGGATGGCTAGGGCTCGCGATAGGAAGACAAGGGACTTCAACCAAGTCAAGTGCATAAAGGATGAGAGGGAGCAGCTCTTGGTGAAGGAGGATGAGATCAGACATAGATGGCAAGAGTATTTTGATAAATTGTTCAATGGTGAGAACGAAAACACCACCGTTCAGCTGGACGACTCGTTTGATGACACTAACAGGCGCTTTGTGCGGAGGATTCAAGAATCGGAGGTCAGAGAAGCCTTGAAAAGGATGAAAGGAGGCAAAGCGATGGGTCCTGATGGTATCCCAATCAAGGTGTGGAGATGTCTCGAGGATATAGCTATAGTATGGCTAACCAAGATGTTCAACAATATCTTTCGATCAAACAAGATGCCTGAGTGGAGAAGAAGCATATTGGTACCAATCTACAAGAATAAGGGAGATATCCAAAGTTGTACTAATTATCGGTGAATTAAGTTGATGAACCACACTACGAAGTTATGGGAGAGAGTCATCGAGCAGCGCCTGCGAGGAACGACACAGATATCAACAAATCAATTTGGTTTCATGCCCGGAAGATCAACAACAGAAGCAATCTTCTTAATAAGACAGGTTATGGAGCGGTTTAGAGAGCAGAAGAAGAACCTCCATTTGGTTTTTATTGACTTGGAGATGGCTTATGACAAGATACCAAGAAATATTATGTGGTGGTCTTTGGACAAACATAAAGTCCCATCAAAGTACGTGACCCTCATCAAGGACATGTACAACAATATTGTAACTAGTGTTAGAACAAACGATGGTAACACAGGTTACTTCCCGATTAAAATTGGACTTCATCAAGAGTCAGCCTTAAGCCCGTATCTCTTTGCCTTGGTAATGGATGAGGTTACCAGGAACATACAAGGGGATATCCCTTGGTGTATGTTGTTCACTGATGATGTAGTGTTAGTGGACGAAAGCCAGGAGGGAGTAAATAGGAAACTAGAGTTATGACGGCAGACCCTTTAGTCTAAAGGTTTTAGATTGAGCATAACTAAAACCGAATACATGAGATGCGACTTTGGCGGAGTTGTACAGGAGGAGGAAGATGTGAGTTTGGAAGGTCAATTAGTGCCTAAGAAGGATACCTTTCGGTATCTGGAATCGATGCTACAGAGGGATGAAGACATTGATGCAGACGTTAGCCATAGAATCAAAGCAGGGTGGATCAAGTGGCGACAAGCTTCTGGTATTCTCTGTGACAAGAGGGTACCACAAAAGATAAAGGCAAGTTCTATAGAACGATGATTAGACCGGCTATGTTGTATGGAGCAGAATGTTGGACTACAAAGATTCGACATGTTCAACAACTGAGTGTTGCAAAAATACATATTTTGCGATGGATTTGCGGTCACACAAGAATGGACCGAGTTCGGAATGATGATATACGTAATCGCCTAGAGGTAGCACCAATTGAAGAAAAGCTTGTCCAACATCGGTTGAGGTGGTTTGGCCATGTCCAAATAAGACCTCCAGAGGCACCAGTGCATCGTAGAGTCCTAAGCCAAGCTAATAATATGAGGAGAGGTAGAGGAAGACCGAAATTGATATGGAGGAGACAATAAAAAGAGATTTGAAAGCTTGGAATATACCTATGTTTGAATACGAGTACTTGGAAAGCAACTATTGAAGTGTCTGAACCGTGACTTGGGGATCTTGGTGGGTTTCAACTCTAGCCTACCCAACTTGCTTGGAACTAAAAGGTTATGTTGTTGTTGTTGTATTGGTTCACCTATTGAATATTGTTTGCTTCATTCACCTTCCATAGCCCTCATTTCTTCACTTCCATGGCAGAAAGAGATTAGCTTCAATTTTTTTTTCTCGGACACACAGGAGAACTGCGCATCATTTATATTAATAAAAAAAAGTCTGCATGACTCGTACAACCCCTATAGGGGCAAAGGAGTTACAAAAAGAACTCGCCAACAAAACCTTAAACGCAACCAATGGCCATGAGTGAACAATCATGGCCATATGCTATGGAGCCCTTTGGCTCCTGCCATACACCATAACAACACATCATATCTAATACCGCACAAGATTGGCTTAAAATTGAACTGGATTACTTCATGTGATGTTTCAAGACAAATGTAAGAAATATAAATGCCCAGCTAGTGGCTGTTGTAAATGTTGTGGTTTTAGTTCCGGTTAACAAAATGATAAGCAATAGCCAACAAATAACTATTCCACCAGGTAAAATCTCTGGATCTGCCACTGCTAGAACTAGTCCAATAAAAAGTACCATGCTACCTATAAATCATGGTCATCCAATTAAATCTTAGCATGGCTATGGCTGTGCCAAAAGCCCAGGTGGAAAAAGTTTAATACTTGATCTAATATGTCACACCTTGCCCTCCTAGTTTCCAAATATGGTGCTGCTGGAGCAGTGCTAGCTCAACTACTACCTTGGCGCCTTGGCGGTAGTGGCAAGGTGTTTCCCAACTAGAGCTGTTTAGGGCTTGGGCTATGCGCAAAAGTTAGATAAATGAAGATGGAGGAAAATGCAGTATGGCCATGAAACTCATGGATGCATGATACTGCCATTTTCTTTGTTTCAGCATGTCCTTTCTTTCTCTATTTGACATCGCATTAATCTAGCTGCATGGAAATGGTACAACTGCCCAGGCAACACCTAGAAGGTAGGCAGAGATTGACCCCACACCTAGCGCAGCACTTTTTGAAACACTTTTTATTATTTTTTATTTTTGCCCCCCCCAGTGGCCTCTAAGGTAGTTTTACATTGCAAATGTAGAGATAACTATATGTGCAATGAAACAAATAATATATGGATTATTCAATAATATGCTAAACCTTTAAACATCTAAGTAAACTTTACAACTTACATCTAATAAAGTTCCCTGCCTTATTTGTATAATTTTACAAAAAAGATAAATCTTAGAGGTAAAACAGTAAAGGTCATGCCAAGTCGCCAATACAATATCAACAACTAACAGCAATTAGATATTAATTTCCATTGCCAATCGCCTCTACTAAAAACTTGTTCACAGTTCACACTCCTAGAAGCAATTACAAAAAAATATTATTTCAACCTCATCTAAACAGTGTGTTCATAACCTATAAGGATTTATCATGCTGAATGTTAGTTGCCCATTAGAAAGCATAACGCTGACCAGAATGGAGGTACAGAACAAAATGCAAGAATGATTCAATCATGTTTCAACTTGATGACTTAATTGAGCCATACTACATATTACAATGAGAACTGAAGTGGCGTCAGTCATCAGCTAACCGTGAAATTTCCAGCAGTAACAACAGTCCGCGCTACATGAGTAACTTCATTGGAAAAGATGAAGGCTAATATCTTAGTTTCTCTTTAAGTATCCAGGCGACGAAGCAACTACAACAGCCAGCATTCCACTACTGATCATAGCAGGTAGAGGCAATTTATGTGCAACA